AGGAGCAGAAACACAGTACCTCATGGCTGGTTTAGCCTTGTCTTTAACTCATCCCACCTAACTTTGAACCCAAGAATAGAACTTGGGTTCAAAGTTAGATAATGCAGGGGACTTCAGAGGGTACCACTATGTGGGCTGCATGAAGCTATCAAAGGCAGTGACAGGCAGCTAAAGGAGTAACTGGGCTGTATGTGGTTTATACCCACCTAGAAACCCCATTAAAAATTAAAGTATTGTCTCCTAGAGAAGCTAATTGTTCCAAAAAGACATTTGCCACCTTTCATTTAGCTTTGCATATACTAAGGGTGGGAACGACCTATCAAAACTTATCCTCAGCTGGTTTCCGTTATCTTGAATCTGTCTCCTTCAGAGAAATGACAATGGCTGACAACTCCAGTTTTAAGGGTAGCCCCTATGTGGACACTGCTACAGACTGCTTCCCACTGCATTGTTCAGTGGATAGGCCTGCATGTGCTTATCGCTAATGTTGCTTTTACAATACTCAGCCTACGTTTCTCCTTTTACAGTGATATTTAATTGGCGATAGCTCAGTCACACAAAGCCTTTTCCTTTTGGGGATTTTCCACCCACTACATGCTATACCAATTCTGGTATCACATGTCCCTGTGATTATCTATTGAAGACAAGCATTTTAGCTCTTTTGCTTTTTGTCCCCCATAAATTAGTCCCTGGATCATTCATAATTTTGGTATGCTTCTATAGTTCCTTGTTAATTATCAGTATTTTTCTGGTAATGAAATGACCTAAAATGAAGACAGTACATTTTATTCTGGTTTCCTGTCAGCCTAAACCCAGAATTTCTAGCAGAGTAATACTTAAAACATCATGGATGAGGTCATATGTTTGGTGTCTCAAGTGAAGATATGAGTCAATAAACTCTATGTTCATAGAATCATAGATTAGTTAGGTTTGGAAGATCATCTAGATCATTAAGATCATCAAGTTCCAACCCCCCTGCCATGGGCAGCGACACCTCAGCCTACACCATGTCACCCAAGGCTTTGTCCAGCCTGGCCTTGAGCACTGCCAGGGATGAAGCATTTAGCACTTCTTTAGGCAACCCATTCCAGTGGCTCACCACCCTTAGAGTAAAGAACTTTCTCCTTATATCCAATCTAAACTTCACCTGTTTAACTCTAAACCCATTACCCCTTGTCCTGTTGTTACAGTCCCTGATGAAAAATCCCTCTCCAGCATCCTTGTAGCCCCCCTTCAGGTACTGGAAGGCTGCTGTGAGGTCTCCACGCATCCTTCTCTTCTCCAGGCTGAACAGCCCCAACTTTCTCAGCCAATCTTCATATGGGAGGTGCTCCAGTCCCCTGATCATCCTCGTGGCCCTCCTCTGGACTTGTCCCTTGTCCTTCTTATGTTGAGGACACCAGAACTGCACACTATACTCCAGGTGAGGTATCACAAGAGCAAAGTGGAGGGGCAGGATCACTTCCTTAGACCTGCTGGTCACACTCCTTTTGATGCAGCCCAGGATACAGTTGGCTTTCTGGGCTGCAAGCTCACACTGAAGCCGGCTCATGTTCATTTTCTCATCTGTCAGGACCCCCAAGTCCTTCTCTGCAGGGCTGCTCTGAATCACTTCTCCGCCCAACCTGTAGCTATGCCTGGTGTTGCCCTAACGCAGGTGCAGGACCTTGTAGTATGCATATGTGTCATATGTTGCCTATATTAGAAGTGGAACAACTCTATTTCCTTGCATTTACTACTAGGAGAAATTTTATTATAGTCAGTGAAGCCTGGTCACACCAGGCACTGGTGCTTGTGAACATCAGAATTAGTATATTTCCATCTTCCCCCTTCTGCAGTTGCACAAAGGGAATCTTCCACTCTGTGCTCCCTGCTCCAAAAGGACAGTGCTTGTAACAGCCTTTTTTGTTCTGTCGAATTGGAAATGCATCATTGGCTTCCTCCTAGCCTTCTTTCAGCATTATTGCTCTCAATGCTTTTCCCTCCAGTGAATGATATTTCTCCCCTGATGAATTAGAGTACTGTTTTCCAAGAGCTGCATCTCAGTTATTTCCTTCCTGTATTTCTAAGCTCTCCGGGGCTGTTTGTACTATTTCTCTGGAACTCAGTTGTGTTCCCCTACCCTCTTCTCTCAACTTGATGTTATCTACATATTTTATTAACCAGCTGTTTTATTCCCCCTTTCACAAGTAAAGATGCTTTGTTGAAACAACAGCTACTCTTTGTCCCTATAGGAAACATATGAGATGCAACCCCCTTGTCTATTATTATTCCTTGTTTGCAGTCCTTCAGACAGTTCCTGTGACAGTATTTATGTCTAAGCCAATGGGAGGTAATATTTTGAGAGGCACTTTATCAAGTGCTTTCCTGAATTCCAGCTCTTTGGTGCCTGATGGTCTCCCTGCTCTCATTCATTTTGTAATTCTTTTGACTTTATACGCACTTTTCTCATGGACTTAGTCTTTGTAAACCCATGGTGCCCCTTCCATATGTTTCCATAAAGAGATCTGTGTAATTCTCAGGACATTACAGGGACAGCCATGAAAAGATACCTTTGAAAGCCAGCATGAAAGCTCCAGTTATGTTCAGAGCTCTAAGGCTGTTTCCAAATAATGAGAGACGCCATACTGTTTGATTGGGCCTGAGGAGAATAACTCTAGATAAATATTAGGAGATAAAAGAGATCACCTTCCCCTTTATGCATTTCCTTGTTTTGTGTGAACTGTTTTCCCGTGGGGATTGAACCACATCTTGTCTCATACAGAAAGCAAAAGAAGTCATTAGCTCTGCTAATTGTTGAAGATAAAGAGTAAAAGGCAATGACAGTTTGCTTTGTGTGTGGTTAAACTTGTTTGATGCATAAATTAAGCAATTATTTTCATTCTCATTTGATTCATTACTATTATGATATTCCACTGTGTTAACAAACTAGCAGGTTGGGGGTTTTTAACTGAACCCAATTTGAATTTAAGCTATACCCTTTTTGTTATACACATTAAATAAATAAAATTACATTGTAGTACACAATATCCAATGTTTTAATTTGGTATTGCATTATGCAACACCCTGTGAGTGTACACAGTATGAAGATGTAATTTAGTAACACTTCTATAGAGAAATGACAAGCAGTATGGCTGGATCTGATTTGTCATGAGGCCACTACACACAAACTAATAGGAATATGTGGGTTTGGCCAACTAGGATATTTTGATTTTCTTGTTTATAACTGAGCTTAATTTACATCCATCTGCTTTTGAGAATATGTGAAAACACTTAAAGCACCTTGAGGGCTATATGTTTCATTAGATTGTTAACTGATGTCATGCTGAGAAATGGATGGGATTTGAGCTATCAGAATTTTCAGAAGCATTGGGACTCACTGCATTAGGATTTTCAGCTATCAGCTGTGCAATAGGAGGGTGATAATACTGTAAGATGTGTCCTGGCACTGATGCATAGAGACAGTTGTGGTGTCTGTTCAATGAGAATGCTCCTCGAACCTTTCCCTGACTTTCTCATCTGAGCAGTATTAAATCTGCTGTATTTTTAGGGTGTCTCTTTTGCAAAAAACAAGAAAAATAGAAACTGATACTTGATATTTTGTGCATGGCTATTGAAAATCATCAGTATCTGTTCTGTACTAAGTGCATGTGCTACATACTAAGGGTGAATTAAGTTAAAGCCGTCATCTGTAAAGCACTTGGGATCCCAGCTGAACCTTGGCATTTCGGGCCTACAGTTGTGTACAGCTATTATGCATGCAACATTTCACAGCCTTTCAGAGAGAGTGAGCTGAGCCTTCTCCCAGGGCTTTTCCTGTCCTGTCCTTCCAGTACAGTTAAATACGTTGGCATACAAATAAACAGATTTGTACTTCTGGAGATAAACCTTTCCCAACACAATAGTAGTATCAACCTGTGACTTTCTTGAAGACTTAGGAGATTAGAAAGGCTTGAATTTATGGTGTGTTTTACAGTTAAAATGTCCTGTTGCTACCTCTGTCAGCTCAGAGAGGAGCAAGTTCAAATGGCATTCTAATGGCAGGTCATAGGTCCCATGGTTGATGCACCCTATGGTACTGAGAGCGCTGACATTTTTTCCCCTCTGCAACGTGCAGTGCTGTGTATGTTACAGAAAACTTTGGATTCTGTGCCTCCAGAGAACATTAGCATGTAGCAGGAGAAACTACAGCATCAACACAATCCAACCTCTCCCACACACTCTTTAGCACTTTAGCTCCTGTCTCACAGGAACTGGTTCACTATTTGAAAGGTAAACTAACTTGCTAAAAATGCTTTGAAGCCTTCAGTGAACATCTCCTTGGAGAAGTTATTCCCTCATTTAAACTCACAAAAGTCTGTTGCCATCCAGCAGCTAGCTGCCTGTACAAGCTTTTAGAGAAATCCTGCAGGTCTCACTTTGCACACAAGCTCCCTCCCTCTTGTTATGCACAGGGTTTTGATGTGGGACTAGGAGCTACACATACATTTAGAGAGGAAAGTAAAACCCAAATGGGTTTGGGGAAATTAGTTCAAATGGTGCCTATTCATGTGGGATTTTTAAGGTCAAGTGTAGTACGTGCACAGGCTAAGGTCCAAATTCCCAATGAGACATTCACATGGATCATGATGTTCATAAATTCGGAGTCTCATTTGGCAGAAGAAAACTATACCGGAACATAAAGGCACTACGTACATGTTTTATTGCAGGGTTCTGTAAAAATAGTTGCTGGTAAAACAGGATTTCCATTCAAACAAAGAATCTTATCTTTAGTCAGCCTTTAGTTAATTTAGTCACTCTAAATTTCATCAAATAGCAGTTATACCCCCAGGAATTCCTCTGGCAAAGGGGTCCCCAAAAATCTGGGAGATTATCCAATTACAATTTAAAGACACATACAGCAAAGGTGACTGACTGAAGATAGAAGTCTCTGAGGAAAAGAGCAGGAAAGAGTGTGAGGATGCCTGTGTGAGAGAGCTTTGCCTTCTCTTAGGAGTAACATGAGGAGAATTATACCTACTGTTAAGTTTGTGGTGAGTGGAGTCAAGGTCCTTGGTTTTGGGTGTGGACCTATCTGCTTTCCTTCCTTTCTTCTTCCACTCCTTCTCTTTTGCTATATGCAGACCCTATGCCCATATGAAAAACTGACTTAATCAAAGTCAATTAAGCTTTTTAATTTTTAGATTTAAATGTGTCAACAAAAGAAAGGCGGCTCTTGATTTGGAGGTTCTGTTTAGGGTGTATGGGCAGAGAATACATATTGCTGTTAATCCTGGGCTGAGTCAGGGGCCTGGTGGATGGATTCTCCCAGGAACAAAAGGGAGATGCCAGAGAGCCACCTACCCAGACCAGGATTATCAAGAGCTAACAGTTCCTCTTAGGCTCTTCTAGGTACTGGGAGCTGTCTGCAGAAGGCTGTATTTTTATGCCTGGAAGAATTGCATGATGATAAGCTCAGGGCCCATGCCCGTCAAAAGTACTGTGCTCACTGAGCTAGCACAGGAGCATGCCCAATTGATTCAGAAGCATTTGATATTGAAGGATGATCAAACCCATTTATTCTTCTTTATCACTAACAGCTCTTGCCATATTCACCTTTAGGCATGGCTCAACTGACTGTGCTGTTAAACTCTTGCAGCTTTGGATATGACCGTATCCAGCAGCCAGCATGGCTGTGAGACAGGGGATTGCATGGGTGCAAGCTGGCAGCTCTGTGCTGCTTGCTTCAGCAGCTCCCAACACCAAATTCCCATGTCCCATCATTTGCTCCTTTGCTAGCCCTATGTGTTGTATCGAAAACTCCTGTCAGGCCCATTTTATATTCCCAAGTTTCCTCAGCTTCAGTAGGTTCAACTGAGGTCTTGTTTAGGGAAAGTTGCACTACCCTTGACCCTCATTATTTGCTCCAGAATTCTGCTGTTTAAAATGTTACATCATAAAATGGCCTTTTAAGACCACTTTAGGAGGTGTCTTTCCTTATCTGCTTTTTCCTGTCCTCCTCCTAGATACATTTTGGCACCCAAACTTTTCTTTCACTTTCCTTGCACAGACAGAGAAAAATGGGAAAGCTGGAAGTTCTTTCTGTACAGTTCAAAAACCCTCTCCCATTGACTTAACTGGCTCTACATCTTTCCAGAGGGTGAAAATATCGGGGATTTCTCTTTGTTGCTGGTGTTATTCTGTTTTTAGAGCCCAGTGGAGTCCTAAGGCACTGCTGGAGCCCCGGGACTGTAGCAATGTATGAAGAAAGCATACAGGATTTGAGTCGCAGCTTCTGCAAAGCTTTTTCCCTTCAGCTGCACTGGTGCAGCAGCTTGCAGAGACTGCCAAAAGTACTCAGGTTAAAATAACATCCCCACAAAACCTTTTACACCGGGTTATTTCAGCAGTCCAGCTTAGTGTGGTCCTAAGAGAAGGGAGGAAGGAGAAACATGCCAAACTGAGGCAGACAGATGAAAGCAAGCAACCAGAAGAGGGGGGAGTCTGAAGTCAAGGAGCCCCTCAGCCTTGCTGTGCTGTCAAAGCCCCTGTAAGGCTCTGCATCTCTGGTGAGCTATCTCCAGGTCTGTCCTTGCTGATGCAGAGCACAGATAGACCAAGATGGAGCGGTAGGAGGGATGCTCTAGAGTTCCCAAAGTTTGCAGGAAGGCAAAGGAGAAGCAGCCAAGTGTTGCGTTCAATATCCATGTTGTCTATGGCCAGGGAGGAGGCAGTTCTCTGCGGCTCTGCTTCCAAATCTGTCAATGCCAGCAGCAGCCTGGAGGCAGCCTGGCTGTCGTGAGCAAGTGTGACTCACTGCTACACCACACAGCTGAATTATTTGGAGTGGGTGGGCAGTATTTGTCACATTGTGAATGAGGATTGGCTATGTTAATGAAGCACATAGGCTGTCTGGGCTGTTGGGTCAACCTTTACTATACACACAGAGATCTATGGCTTAAACTTACTAGAACAAGATGAACATGGCAAGGGCAAATGCACTATGTTCACAGAAGACAGACAGGACACTGCACCAGTGTTAAATAATTGAATTTATTGCAGTAGATGCTGCACCAAAAGCTGAACGATTCTTAGACTTCGTTCATATCCTGTCTAATAAGACCTATGATGAGTATTACAGTCTGGGACTGAGTGTTTACAAGTGATCCCTTGACATGTGCACCACTTAAAGGAACACTCAAGTGATAAATTTGTTTTCCAGTGCTTAAGGGAGATTGAATGCTCCCCTGCTTACAAGAAGTCCCCGATCTTACTGCAGATGCAAACCAGAGCCTGCTTTGCCGTGATTCTGAAACTGGGGAGGGATGAAATCTCAGTCTTGTAGCATGGAACCTCTGAGTTAATAAAAAAGTGTTAATAAGGAATATCTGTTTCCAGTAAAGAAAAAACAATGAGAGGCAGGAGGAGAAAAACATATTGATGGATGAGATGCATTTTCTGAAGTTTCAAAGGGGGTCAGCTACACAACTCCTACTAATCATACCAGGCTAAACACCCAAGGCAGCCTTAGAGGTTGTAGCCCATAAAGATTTAGACAAAAACTAATTCAGATGGTATACTGATAACTTTTGCCCCACGAAGAATCTTTTTATTTCTGTTGGCAACGGATGTTACCTAAATGTGAAAAGAAATAGAATATTCTAATTTTCATGCAAATGGATATTATTTTTTTTTTCAGATGAAAGGCACTGCATAAAAAGTAGAATGGCAGTGCTGTAAATATTCTGCCTGTGGTATGTTTACTTACCATTAATTACTGACATCTTGGCTAGTTGTTATAAGGAAATATATGTATATTTTCAATTAAGCAATGCTTTTATGCTTTCAAATCAACTTCTGTTCTTTCAGTGCTATTGGAAACTTGAAGTTGATCAAGATGGACACTTTGTAAAGATCCGGAATCATGCCACTAAGGAAGATGAGAACATTGGGGGTTATCTCTTGAAGCAAGACATCAAAGGTCAACCAGTAGCTGTATTTAGGTTTCCCTCTGAGACCAGGATGGAGCCCAACTCCACCGTGACGGTGAGTGTGGGGGCTTTGATTGCCTTTTCCCAGCTGACAGACTAGGGTACACTCTTAGCCTCATGGTATAGAGTCAAACTTAAGTCTGTATTTTCAGAAAGGCTAACACTCACAAACAATGATGAATTCAGAAGCTCCTGATGCTGATCATCAGTACAAGCCTGGCATTCTCATGACTTGTCACATATTTCATGTTGTCCAGCAATGGGAAGCTATCCTAGAAAGTCCTTCTTTGATACATTATTTTTCCAGCCACTGTTCCTCTAAAAGGCTCACCCTACTGCTAGAATACTGAGTTGTGCCAGTGTTTGTCAATGAAGGGTGTGAACCTTGTATAAGGAACCTACAAATAATAGAACCTGAAAGGAAATGAGTTTATGTGTTGCTACTGAAGCAATTAATATGGTTTTGTGTATAGTCTGAGGTACCACTACAGCAGGGCCTGAAGTGAAAATAAAACAGAAAAGTGATGCTGCTTTCCAGACTGTGCCTACTACTTGAGGACAGATGTTATCCAGCAGAGAAAGCCATAAACCACTGTTCTGGCAATGGGGCTCTGGTCCTGGCTTTGCCTTGGATGACTTTAGGTAGAATGATGCGACTCTGTGCCTTCATTTCCTATTCTGTAAAATGAAGATGATGTGCAGTCCTTTGATGTTGTGCCAGAACCATACGTTAAAAATTCAGTGCACGGGCTGCTGCTCTTCAGAGATTACTTCCCCTCCAGCTAGTTCAGATGTCTCTTTTTGCCTGTTTGAATAAGAGTTAGAGAGGGAGGTAGGATCTAAGATGCAAAGAGTCAGATGTCTTCATCATACTCCAGAAAAGATTTAAATACATAATAACAAATATAAGCATCTGATATCCATGGTAATGAAAAAGGTTTGAACATGTGAACTAAATGTGACCAAGGCTCAGCTGTAGGTGTAGCTGAGGAATGTCTGCTGGCGTCTGCATGCAAACTCCAGCAACCTCTGGGATGTACCCACACTCAGAGAGGGCACGGCTGTTGCTGTACTGGGTAAAGATGCAGACTGCTTGGCTGGCTGCAAGATACTTTGCAGATCTCCCCAGAAATGTTTTCCCCTTAGTTGGCTTTTGTGCCACTCACCCCAAAGGTAGTCCTTTTTGAAGTGCTCTTGATCAGAGCTGAAGTCATTGACAAGGTTGTTGTTCCCATTATAATTAAAGGGCTTTGGGGAGAACAAGGTAAAAGACAAAGGCAGAAGGTCCTCCACAGCTTCTATTTCAGCATACACAAGCAGAAAAATTCTGCCTTTCTGTTAATTTTAAAGGATTGTATTTGTGCTGACAACTCTTGCATCTAAAATTGACATACAATAGTGACTGTGTCTGATAGTCAGCCAGGGAGGACTTCCAGCCCCCAGTTCCCCGTGAGTGCAACAGATGAATCAAGGCAAAATGCTGAAGTTAGATGCCAGTGTGGATGCTTGGAATATGGTCTGAAGCCTCTTTTACCACCAGCCTTCTTTCTTTTCCTGAAATGAAAACTGAGGCATCTCAAAACAAAAGGAGGCAGAGTCCATATTCATCACCAAGCTCAGCGCAGGTCAATGTAGCTCTGTGTGAGCCCTCTTATAAGAAAGCTGGAAATGCAAGCTGGCAGTGCCTCAAAAGAGCTGCAGTCAATTGTGTCTTCTGATGTATGTGTGAAAAAGCCACAAAATACACCTTAGCAAAGTGCTGTATGGTGAGCATTTTTGGAAGAGAGCATTTTATGTATTTTTGTAGATACTTCTCCTTTAAAATTGGATGATAATTGGTTTGGCTCCCAGGAAATGGTTGAAGCCATTTTCTCACAGATGGCAACTGCTAAATCCTTGAGGAACAGTGTTTGCAAAAGCTTGCTGTGGTCGTCTTATGTAAGAGAAATGTTTTCATAACAGGTCCCTTTGCTACTGTGTTAGTGATAAAGGTCACAGATAATTGTGTTCACTTTATAAAGCACAGTGTTGTTAAATCTTTTGTATAAAGATAAAAGTACATGAAATTTCTTGTCTCCAGTAGAGACAAGAGGGAATTGAAAATGAACAGAGGGAATCCAAAATCAAGCAGAGACTGGAATTTTAAACCTGATATCACAGATCTCTTCCAATATGCCCCTGGTAATTCAGTAAGTAAAAGAAACTGCCTACTTTTAATCTTACTCTCAGCAAGCCAGACCAAAAAACCCAGGATTTACTAGCACACCTTGAAAAATGTGCCTTTGCTAATCTCTGTTAATCCACAGGAGAGGCACTTGAAAATAATCACTATAACTAAGCTGCAAGTCTTGAAATAAAGTTCTTTCAGCTTTGATTTCACAGATCAAATAGTGACCAGTGCTACAGAAATAACAATGAAAAAGGAAAACCTCATGTTTTTACTACCTTCTTATGTTGTATAAATATTCAGGAGCCATTTTGTCTTTAAACTAATTTTTTTGCAGGTTTGGGCAGCAGATGCTATGGTGATTCGCAGATTTCCGCCGGATCTTCTTTGGAAGGACCTGAAGAGATTTAGGATAAGCCTTGACTGTACTATCGTTCTCTGTGAGCCTAGTGGCCAAGTGAGCAAAGTCACTGCATTTCCTTACCCAAACAGCTGCATCACTGGACTTCTTTCAGAGATTTAGGATCACAGAATCATAGAATAGTTAGGGTTGGAAAGGATCTTAAGATCATCAAGTTCCAACACCCCTGCCATGGGCAGGGACACCTCGCTCTAAACCATATCACCAATCATATTGTTAAAGTGCTTGTAGAATCAAGCACAAGCAATCCAGACATAGCAAAGCTGTGATCTCTCTATGTTAACCTTGCCTCTGTGGATGTTAATTATTAGGAACTGAAGAAAAACACCACTTGTTGAATGAAAGGCTAACATCCTCACAGCAATTGAAGCAGTGTGAATTGCCAGCCCACTGTCCTTTTCCACTGTGTTACAGCCATGAAAGATCCAGCTATGCGCAGGGCTATTCAGCCCATGGCTGCTCATTAGTAACTGTCATCAGCTTGGCAACTGTGTTGAATATCTTTATGCAAAGTTGTGTTGATTTGAGGATGAGAGAAAGTCCAAGATAAATTTTTATCTTATAGTTGTCCAGTGGCAACTATGGTTTTTGGCCATTTTTATCTACACAAAGTCACGCTACTGACAATATGGAAAGGACCAGTGACTGTCATAAACAGTGTAAGATATACAGCTTCCCCAAGGTAGCATAATTTACCCCTTACAAAATGTTAAGTGAACTTTGACTTTTGGTGTCACCTTTTCACATTTACTCCTCTTCTAGCTCAGTTTGGCTATACTTGCTATCACATCAGCACCAGGGAATCAGAGGCTGAAAGGGAACTTGAGATGTGATTACCTCTGCCAGGATTGCTTCTGGCTGTGGCTTACCTAGGTAGCTCTGCAAGACTTTCAGTAATGGAGACTCCACTATGTCCCCAGGCAATCTGCTTTAGTGCCTCACTCTCTCCATGCTCAGAAAAGCTTTGCTAGTGCCTAAACTGAACTTTTTCTGCCTCAGGTTTAGTCCATTTCTTCTTGTCCTATCCACTGTGGACATGAAGAACAGTTTGCCTTTTCTTCCTTCAGCAGCCTTTGACATACTTTCAGAATTGTCATGTCCTCTTTTCTCTCTTTCTTTGTTTCATTTACTGAATTGGAGCAGTGGAATTTCAAGGCTCTTAGATGAGTCTAACCTAAATATATTTAAAGACTGGAAATGGATTTTAAAGACCAATGAAAAAAGCTGGAATTCAGTGGTTGTGATTAGTATTTATCTTTCTAATGATAAATAACTCTGGAATACGTAGGAGTGCCTACCCTTTCAGCCCTTCTAGTTTGTCTACAGCAAACAATTATCTTGATGAAAAGATGTAGAATATAAATAAACAGTGATATGTTGGTGGGGTTTTTATCAGGCTGTTGCTTGGTACACTTCTCTCTACTGGACCACCAGGCAAGAATTGATGGCGACAGGGGAAAGTGAAGAACCTGAGAACATTATTATACCAACTTTCTCTACAACAAGAGAGCAATGTGAAAAGGAACAGGAATCTACAATAACTGATACAGAGTGGAACATGGCTGGCCCATGGCAAACAAGTAAAAAAAGACCAAGCTTCATCAAAAGGTATCTGACATTTATTGTGTGTAGTCTAATAGGAGCATTGTGCCAGTCTGGCTCTGTCAGTAAGCGGCTTTAAATGAGCATCTTGGTAAGCAAATCCTGAAAAGCTGGGGAATTTTTAAAATTGGAATTAACCTTAACCTTCAAACGGGAATCCAGACCAAAGCTTCTGATAGCAGTGCATTCATTGTCAATAAAAACTAAGCAGAAGATAAAATTCTTCTTAAAATATGACTTTATTATTATATGTTATTCTTTGAGTCCCAAGTGTTTGGCTGGCATCCCTTAGAGACCACAACTTGGAAAGCTTTCAGCAAAAAATGTTAAAGTTGGAGAACTCTTTTCCTTTGTCTTGAGAAGGATGGGCCTGAACTCAGTCTTCTCTCAGGTCATTGCACTCTGAACTGGGCTAGGGACTTGTAACCATTGCTTCCTAAATTGCTTCAGAAATGTCTTCTGGCCTTTGTATCAAACTTAAAATCGGCAGCGCTATGAAAAATTGTGTTCGTTGCTTTAGATGCTGCAGCTGAGTTTGGGCACCCAGGTCTCAGATAGGAACCCCTGAGATGAGTCATTCAATGGTTTTAAATGAGGAATGCAATACTGATGGTTTTTTTCTAAGTAAGTCACTTCCAAATTTCCGGCTCCAGGGGCTTTTAAGCTAGGTTCATAACAGAAAAACATGTATTTCAGAAATAAAGGATTGACCAATCTGGATATATTTTTCACAAAAAAATAGTGGGTGAACCTTCTGTCTGGGGTAATTGTTCTCTAAATTTCTTCTCCAGACTGTGGCTGGAGATATTCAGAAGATGAATAGTTTCCAGCATAGGTTGAACCAGCTGTTCTTCACAAGCTTTGTATCAGAAATGGCTAAATGACTTTTGCTCAAACTTGCCAAAGAACCTAAGTCAGAAACAGGGAGAAATGATGAAAAAATTCAGTGCAAAGAGTACAAGGCTGGCAGAATTATAACCAAAGGCAAACGGTAAATTATAATGCATATGTCAAACAATACAGAAGTTGCATTTCTTCCACCTACAGCTAAATGCAGAATGTGTCAAATCTATGTCTGCTGTTTGTTAGCTATATCACATAAATGTAATGTATGTGTGCATTAAACATGGTAAACCTAGGCAAAATTCAATAATAAATATGCTAATGCAATACAATAAATAATGCAGTAGTAGATAGAATATACTTGTTTTTTATATCCTGTGTACATACATGCATGTGCTAAATGTGTGAAATACAGAAAACTTAATTGAATTTCTGTTTACAGGGAAAAAAAGACCTTTGCATCCCTTTTCCTTAATCAGAGCGCCTGGTGCCAAAGCCCAAACACTCCTACACACCCTCACTTTTCCCTGAGTAGACCATTAACCATGGGGAATGATGGCAGCAGCTTGTGTAGGCAGTCCCGGTGTCAGTCTTCAAGGCCTGACCCTGTGCCAGGTGAGTTCAACAGCAGATGTGGTATATGCTGTAGCATGCACAGTGGCAACAGGGTGGACTTTCTGACACAAATAGCTTAAGACTTAAAATACATATATGTTACCACCTCTTCTGTATCAGGAGTTCTCCAAACTTACATTGTACCCCCATTCCAGTAACAACATATGTACTTCTATTTATGTGTAAATTATGTACATTTATGCCTGCAATAATACATTATGTATATTGTAAAGCATATACATCAATATAAACTTAAAAGGATGGGATAAAGATTTTTTTAAACCTATTTTAAAAGTATTTTGAAATTAAATTCTATTCATTAATATTACGAAAATATTTTCTTCATGCACCCCAATGGATTGTCTTGCATTCCCCCTGGAAGCTCTATAGAGCTGCATGTGTCAGTAAACTGTGAGGAGGCTATTGTTACTAATACTGATGCATTTAGAAAATTAAATAAGAATCTGTAAGAGACTCTTATACTGTCTGTGAATTGTTAATTAGGCAGTGGTGAGAAAGCCAGTGTGTAATTTGGGTACATCAAACCCAGAAAGCTGTGGACACGCTGCAAAGACTTTAGGAGAAGATGACAGGGTGGAAAAGGATCTGAAGAGATTGGTTCAGGAAGATTGAAAAGAGATAAATTTGTGTTAGACAAGCAAGGTGATTGTCATGCAAGGGGATTCAACCCTCACAGCAAGAGAGGAAACAGTCTTAGATCCAGGAAACAGAACTAGAAGGAATAGGACCAAATGAAACACAGAAAAGCTTAGGTTGAATATGTAAATGAAAAGGAGCTTTAATGATCTATAGTACAATCTTCCAGATGTGCTCATTACCTAGCATTTTAAATCACTGGAAAGTTTTAAGTGCTCAGATGCCATTAATTTTAAAGGAACTAGGTATCCAGGTTGTGAAGACAGCTTTGAAACACTCATTCTTTGTTTAGTGAACAAAGACTAGTTAAATTATTTCTATACACTAAGGAGATGACCCTGTGACTGGTGTAGATATGTGACTACACAGCTGTCAGGAGTTTTTTCCCATTTCTAGGAGTTCTAGCTTAGGGAAAGCCTTTCAGCTTGACTCAAGAAAACATTAATGCTCCTGCTTAGCTTTACACACCTAAATAGTAATCCTAAAACCAGTGAGGGCAGTCAGGAAGATCCTTCTCAACTGTTATATCCAGACAAAGATTAAAACCTCGTGAAGCCAGTTGTAATAGACCTCATTTCATGGTTTGTTTCCTGCTCTGTTTTAATCATTGGTAGCATCAGTTACCAGGTGTCTATTTTGTATAATCCTGATTTGTCTAATTTACCAAACTTACTTTGTCTCATTCTGCATTGCTCTGGTATTCCGCAGAGCTGGGGCCCCCATATCTGTTCTGCTAGCTTCCTGGACAGGGAAAAGCTTGTCACAAAATGGAAATTGGCACCTGCCACCTGGGGATGCTGGTGGCATCAGAGGTTGTGTTAAGATGAGCAAATGCTGCAGACAAATAGAAACAAGTCTATAGAGCAGACCCCTTGATGCTGCAAACCTGGCATCCACCCTGTACATATTTCAAGGGTGATTTACTTTGTCCCAGCTCTGGACAGATCCAACAGGCTATGAGGGGCACCTACCCCTACATGGTGTAGGTATGAAACTTCCTAGGCTGCTGTGTAGCCCACTCATGCTCACCACTGGACTGCACAAGGTGGTTTCTGTCTGAATACCTGCTTAACATCTAGAGTTCTTGAGGAAAGTCTCCAGAGGACATCTGGCTCAGTTTCATTCAAGAGCAAGCCAGCTTGTGCACTTGATAATGGTCTGTGATGTGAACTCGAGCACAGCCAGTGAGGGAAGTGGCATCTCCACTCCACAGATATGCTCCTTTTTGGACCCAAAGTGCTATGGACACAAGCAGAACATCCCTCAGGGCTTTTCCCAAGTTAAAGGGAGTTTGCTGCTATGATATGGGTGACCTGCATGCAGTCTTCTTGGCTATATTCCCATCTTCTGTCACAAGCTAATTTGGTTTCAAGATTAATTTCTTTTTTCCTTGCAAACAACCATTAAGACTAAAATGTTTTCCAATGAAGCAATCAGTATGAAACCAAACCAAACCAGCTCCTGAGACTGTAATGCAGTCACGTTGTTCCAGGGCACAGGGATGCAGGCAGGTAGAGAGTGCCTGCCTGTAGACTTATTTCCTGAGTGTGGGAGCTCTGAAGGCAGAACTCAAAGCAAGGTGATCTGTCACACATTAAATATATCTGGGTTTTGTAGGTTTTCACATGCAACCTGCATACCCTCAGTCTCTCTTTCTCAGATCTTTGCAAAAAAAAAAAATTCAACTTTTTTTACTTATGGCTCATTTGCAGCTCTTTTCACTACCAAATCATGAAATTCTTCCTCTTAATACTGCCAGGAAAGTTAACAATATCCAAGATCTCAGATTAAAAATTAAGTGTAGGTATTACCATTGTTTCCCTCTGATAAATATTCATGCATGGTACATATTACTGCCAGATTTTTCCAGAAATTGATTTAGAGATGTAAGCGTCATTTTTATTTTATTACAGCACAAGAATTACAAGTGCTTTAATCAGATTTCTATAACTATGTCATTAGACATTACTACTGATGGTGGTGGAATGATGATTTTCAAACAGATGATGGAATAATGATTTTAAAATGTATGACTACTTTCTTTTTCCCTTTTTGATTTTTCTTTCCTTCTTAAAAATTCTTAACTAGCAGCCTTATAACTGACATGAACACTGAGGTCCAGAGTCGTATGCCTAAATGCAGTCTTGCTTAGATCCTGGTCAAAGAAAGCTTCCTTATTCATTAAGGACTCTTCCAACATGCTCTTAAATGCTTTATAATATCAAGACTTACAGAAATCAGTATTGTTAACTTGTTTTCCTCCGGAAGCACATTTTTAATCACTGTTATCTTTAAGTATGGTTAGTTACTTTCCTAATGCCATAACACAACGCAGTTAGGTCAATGCCTTTGAACTGAGTTAGTGATTCAAATATTTTTGCATTTCCATCTTAGATACTTAATTTTACTGGACTATCAGATCAGAATATGTTCATATTTCAGAAACACAAAGGCCCAATCAAAACTGCAGTGATGGGCCTCACAGAGGATACTGTTTGATGGTATTTGCCTATTAGCTTAAAGTATTTAGTTTCTCATACACCCATTGTATCCTTTCTAGCTCCTAGCTCTCCTCTATAATAATAAAACATTATCTTTTCAGTCTCTGTTTTGAGGGATGTTAATAGCAGCAGTCCACCATATTCCAGTAGAAAATAAAGTGTGTTTAATGGCATAATGGTGTTGTGACACTCTTTGCCTCCCCTCCTCATGCAGCTCAGCATTTTACCTTTACAGCTGCTAGAGAACAGGATTTTCACTACCCGGTTCCAGTGACTCCTGTCACTTTACTCTTGAGTTGTTGCAGTTGAAAAGATGATGGTAGGGTGTGTGGTAGCTATTCCTTTCAGCACATACCCATCCATATAAAATTTTAACTGACACCTTACCATTTGTCCTCTTTTGCCTTTTAAGTCCCTCCTGAGACCCTTCTGAACAGTTTTCTTTGGTGCTGACAACAAAAGACCTTGTAAGTTACCTACAAAAAGCTTCATTTCTCACTGTCTTTAATTTATAGCCTTTAGCTGTTGAGCTGATTGGTTTCCTTTTCACTCAAGTAGCCCCATTTTCTTCTTGGACAGAAAGATAAGAGGGGAAGAACTGCCGCTTTCATAAGTCACAAAGTTCAGGCTGGGCTTCTACCTTGCATTTCCCTCAGAAATGCATCACTGGTGATGGTGTTTTTCTGTTGTTGATGATGAATTTCACTCTGAATCAAAATGCTCAGCTGTGAATTTTGGAAGGCGTATAAAAATAACAGTGGAATGTATTTGAGAAGTAAGCACTATGAAGCCTCAGCCAAGACCAGCAAGTTTTGTCAATCCGAATGTTTCCTGTTGCTGAGGAAAGCTAATTAAGCTTTCAGTGGCAAATTGAACCTGCAGACAAGGAACATATTTAGTACACATTTCAGTGAAAAGGAGCCAATTCCTATCACCATCTTCTCTAGCAGGTTGATCAAGCCTGCTAGCTTTCTGTTCTCCCCACTGGTTCTCATGGTTTTTGTCCCAGAAACTGAGAGCTGACTGGGATGAGATGCACTTACATCATGATGAATTTGTTCTTTTGGCTTGTCCCAAGGGATTCCATTGTCTGTGGGACTGGCCATGCAATTTTCAGTGAGCAGTGAGAAATGTCTGCAGATTCTTCTCTTTTGCCTTAGGAGGAGGACATATTATTGGCAATAACATAAGTGATGTACAAACATGCAGATGCTACTTTCTGAGTAGCAAGAGGTCAATCAAAATATTACAGTGATATCCCATGGTGAGAAACTAAGTCAGCTGCTTTCTCCAGTATTTCAACTGACCAGTGCAGATGAATTAATTGTTCCTATCATTAATAAGACAGAAAGCAAAGCATCTCAGTTTCCTCACTCATGCTGGCTGACAGTCAAGTGCTCCAGCAGTCTACCCCTTTGAGTGTGTTTGTGCCCTCTGCCAGCTTAAGTTCTTCTGTAGCCTTCAAAACCCTAAGATAAGTTTTCGGTTTTTCACTGGGTGCAGATTAATTACCTGGAATTCCAAGGTTCTGCAGTGCTAAGGGAAAGGATGGTCCAGTAAAGGACACCATTCTGGTGACATAAATCTATCAAAATACCCTGGCTTTGTTTATTAGGTACCAAATGCTGTGCCATCATTTTATGAGAAACACAGCAATTCTGGTTTCTTTATCCCTGCTTTCTCAGCCTTGGTATCTTATGACCTGACTGTGTTTCCCTACCTGCCAGGAAGGATGCCAGTCTGTCAAAATTATTTGCTTAGCTATTAGCTATGTGCATCTGTGTACTTTCAGTGTTCCATGAAAAGCAAAACAAAACAGATCATTCTGACCTGTTTCTGAGGGAAAAACTTGGGAAAATTGGGGGGGGGGGGAGGGGGGGTGAATAATAACTCTTTGTGGCCAAATATGGAAATTGTGCAAGATTATTGCCAACATCTTCAAACAATACAAACAAGTACAGCTCTTTCAATTCATCTCCTTCTATCATGGTCAAATATATACTACATTATGAATACTTCTCTCATGGTCAAATATATATTACATTATGAATACTTCAGTGTCACTGGAAAAAACTGAAGATTTAGCAATGGTTTGTTGAGAAAGAGCACCTTGTTAAGAGGCTTTCTTAAGAATTTAGGAAATCCAAATACTTCTGCTACTTTTGATTTGGCTAACCAGAGGTAACAGTAGGATGTATGAAGCACGCTGTCCTGTGAACTGCCTCAAAAAGTCGGTAGAGCCAGCTTGCTTGGTGGTCATTAGTATCACCTACCAGACAAAATGCTGTCACCATGCTGAAATGTGCTAACACATTTGGCACTCTTAAGCTCCAGTTGCCACTGAAAGGAAAATCTGGAGAGCTGCAGTGCCTTTGAGACGTGAACACTGCTAAGTAGAGCTGTCTGGTTGAAAAGTACATTTACTGCCCTTTGCTTCTTTTGCAAACTTATTGCTATGGAAAAACTGTGGTAGCAAGTGTCAGGTTGGCCTGTGAAAAAGCAATTCGCTCCCAGATAATCTTGGCAGAACAACCTGACCTTCAAGAAACCATGACTGAGGATGACACTTTATCTTCTTGTCACCCATTACAACATACAGTCTGTGACCGAGTCACATAATGGAGTGATAAAATTAAGTCCAGAGATTCACCTCTGAAAATTGCTCTCATGTAATAACAATACCCAGCACTTATGAAACCTCCAAGTGAACTTGCTTAAAGGTGGTGTTCATGTCAGTAGAAATGTGGGGCCATTTAAAAGCTGATTCCATGGTAAAAGTATGTCCAAGGCTGAGATTAGGGTTGAACACAGCTCAAGGAAATGACAAATATCCAAGGTCAAGGAATGAAAAAGTTTGCTCCCTCCCTGCCAGGAATTTATGGAGAACTGCAGGCAGCAAAAATAGGGAGCCAAAGACAATGATTTTTGCAGTGAAACTTGTGGAGATGGTATAAGGCAGGTAGTCTGAGAGCATCAACTAGAGAGAAAGTGACAGTGGGGAGGAAAGTGACGTGATCTCCGTTCAGAGGCTGATAAGGTTTTGGAAAAGCACGTGTTGTTCATGGACAGCCAGCGCAACTGTGCTTTTGGCCAATGAATGCTTGCTAATATCCAATCAACTGAAAGTCTGCAAGAGAGGGTTTGATCCTTTAAAGTAAAGGTATCTTAGTGACAGCTGGTGACCTTGCATGTGATTGTTTATCCCAATGTGGCTTTATTTAAAATGTTCTTCCATAGAGTCAGAAAAAACAGAGAGCTTTTGTTGTTAGCATCCTTGTTTTCTAAACTGACTTTCTTTTAAAAGTAGGTATGTGGAAATAATGACTGTTGTCATCAACAGGCACTCTGTATGCAGGAACTAGCAAGAAGAAAAATCCTTCAGTCCCCAGCTGCGTGAGAAAGGCAAAAGTCAGCCTCCTCAGCAGTGGTGAGTAGAGTTGCTACAATACAGTTTTCAAAGTAAACAAACACAAAAAATCTCAACAAAGAACGGTAGAGCTTAGGAAAATCCACATTTTGAAATGCAAGGATTTCTCTGTTTTGTTGGAAATTCTTTTAGTCTTCTCTCTGTGAGAAAGGCCTATGCCAGACCACAAATACAAAGCATCTGGATTCAGGAACTGCAACTTGCTCACAGCAACATGCATCTAAGTCTAGAGAACTTTATGTGTACATCTTAGGTTTGCTTTGAGTTGGAATCTATTTGCACTGTTCCTTCTAGGGAAAAGAAGGTTTAAGTGCACACCCATGTATATATATGTATTTTATCTATTTGAAGACTGTTGTTTGCACTGCCTCACCTAAAGACCTAGAATCTAGGATCAGTAATGAAGCCCTCACATGTAAATATGTAGACCCTCAGACTTAAGTTGTTGCAAGTTCCTCTTTCAAGCTTCTTGATTTCTAGATCCTTCCTTGGGAGCTGGTTGCTTGATATGACTTAGTATCAGTTGCATGATTCATTGTAACGCAGAATCTTTCCTCTATTTTTGTACTACAAAATATCATTAGATACGCAGATGTTGGAAATGTCTTGTGGCATGTTAAATATCATTCCAATTTCCTACCCCTTCTTCTTAGGTTCTGTTACAAAAGCTGTAAGAATTGATGGATTTTGTCCAGCAAACAACCCATATATACAACCTAGTGTCATAATTATTATATCGTGCAATATGTAGTGATGCTACTTACCATGGTTTATGTTCTCCAAAGTATTAATACATTTATATACATATAAAAAGTATAAATACAAAAGTATAAATACATTTATATACATATATGTGTAAGTAATAGGAAGTAAAAGAAGTATCAGAAAAGAAACTGGGGAATTATTGCTTGTGTCTGTCTGCTCACTGTATGCATAAAGTGGGGTTCTTTGCCCAGGTACAGACTTAAATAAATATATCAGTGCTACAGTTTTATCTTATCTAAAATGATAGTAATAGCACATATCTCCTAGGGGCAGTGTGAGTCAGCAGTGTTTGTAGAAAAGCTTTTCTATCTTTAGATGAGAGGCACTTTAGAAGTGCAATGAATTAGTATTTTTGTCAGTGACACTAGATTAAATGCTTTTTGGTTGAGAATCCTACAGTTCCTGAGAAACTTGCTGAACACTCAAGAAAACCATGACCAAGTAACTTGCTTTCTAATCTCTACATTTGCTTCACAATATTCAGGGTTCAGTGGAACTATTGCAATATCCAAATACAACTACGTGACATTTTAAAGCTTTATGGGGAGAAAGCCCTTAGCACTATGGGCTTTGATGCTGGTTCACACTGTGAAAATTTCACAGCTCAGGAAACAGCTCATCCTGTGACCTGTAATGTTATCAGCAGTAACTAATTCTGTGCATACAGTTCTCTCAGAGCAGATGAAAACAAGGATGTTTGTTTTATCTTCAGAAAAAGAGATTTAAAAGAATACTTCAGATTGCAATACGTTTAAAAGTTTAGCTTGACACTTACTTAGCTGTCCTGTAGCAGCTCATTAAACCCTGCTGGGTTTAATGCAGAGCCCTAAAAATATATCTGCTTCACAGCTGAGTCAAGCTTTCATTCAGATACTCCTTACAAAATCCTTTCACCTTATAAGAGTTATGCTTTCTGTCAAGAGCAATAGATTAAATCCCAAGAGAAACTCTCAGCTGGGCTGCCCACTTCTCATTTTGCCATGAAGAGGTGTCCAAACCAGCTGAGACAGAGAGCTACAGATATGTGAGCTCTTGCAAAGGATAAGAAATAACAGAGCAGCTGAGTTTATTGCAGCTTAAAGGACCATGGGACATGCTTCTAAAAGCAAGGTGCATACAGTGAGGTGAACTTGTGTGCAGCTTTGCAGAATGGCCTCTCAAGCACAAGCAAATTCACATGCTAATTCCTTATAAAGATAATTTTATGTATTTTACTGCTAATGATTGTTACAGGCAGTGGTTAATGATTTTCTCAAATGTTGTATGTATTTGTAGTGTTGTAACGATTATTAAGACAAAGTTTGGGTGTAAGGTCTACTCACTCATTATGGTCTTATGCTCCTATAGAAACAATCATAATGCTCATATAGTCCCAACTTCTCAGTCATGAAACCACATAGTAGACTGGAGATTTGAGAGAGACCAGAGATTGATGGCTCAGCAGCACAAAAGGTTTAGTCCCATTTAAAGTTGGTTTCAATGGGGGAAATTGGAACAGGTAAAATTAAATCACTCAGTGCATACTATATGGATAGTCTTATTCCAAACTAGAACACCCTTTTTCTGGCTTAATCTGTTTCACTTTCAAAATGACTTAAGCTAAACAACAACCCCCCCAGACTACTTATTTTTAATGGAATATCTATAGAGGCAGTTAGATCCCTGGGACCTCAGTGGTCACATTGGCTACACTAGTAAGTTTTCCCACAGACTACCTTTATAAACACCTTCACAAAGTATCCTATAGGCAACGTGTCCTGTACTATGTATTAATTGTAGAGAATTATCAGTATGAACTGAGCTCCCATAACTTAATAGTGATAATAAATTCCTGGTTTACCAATGAAATGCATGTCCAATTGGCACTGACTGGCTATCTGATATTGAGAGGAATTGTGGATTTCCTTCCAATTCCAAGTGAACAGTATTTGCCAGCATAATGAATAGCTTTCCTTTGTCTGCTGTCTTAGTAGATAAGTGAAAAATGGAGTGGGAAAGGACTGACTTCTGGCTCCTGGAGGGGGCACTTCTGAATCAAGATAGAAGTGCCATGTTAGGATGGAGTGAGGAAGGTTGCCATATGACCCATAGGCTTTAAACATTCACTTAGAAAAACTGCACATGCGAGGATCCCATCTGCCTTGCCCTTTCAGTTCATCTCAGAGAGATCTTCACATCTTAATACATGCTACAATTTTACTTTTCTCTAGGAGGAGGAAGAGTCACAAATATCTAGTAAACAGTATGATTTCCCAGGATGTGGTATCCAGTCACCAGCTATTAGGAGGAAGAAGAGACAGCAAATTTAAAGCTTGGTTGGCTTGAACAGGAATAACTTGTTGGACCTCAATCTTTCAGCTTCTCAGGACAGGACAAGAGGAATCAATCTGGTTCACGTGTTTCCTAAGAAAAAAAATCCCAAAATAAACCATACCAAGATAAAACAGTCTGCTGCTTGCTACTAACCAAATTCTTAAAAAAATAATAATTAATTCCTTTCTTCTTCACCTTTGCTGCTAAGCACTTCCTGAGTAATTTATGTTGTTCTCAAACTTGGGTTTACATAGCATTTAATGTCAAGAAAGTCTGATGGCAATAATCAAGAGGGTTTACCCTTGTAGCCAGTTGACCAAAATGTACCTTTTTTTCTAGATGGAAAATAAGCTTTGGGAAAGCTTAGAATATTTTGGAAGTGAAATTTGATTACTTGACAGGGTGAGATCAGAAGTGTAGCTGTCTGTCCCAGTGCAGGTGTCTGCTTTGTGGGTGAGAGAAAGCAGAAGAGAGAGGACAATGCTGGCTGCCCTCCAAACTCTTCTGTGGGGCTCAGTGGGAACCAGAGGATAAGAAAAGAGGCTGGCTTATCTATGAGCAGGCTACAGGAGTTAAGGCAGAAGGAGATGCCTCCTGACCTACCTCTTTCTCCACTGTAGCGGACCCCATGATTCTTTCTCATTGAAAGTCTTAGTGAACTGGTGCATATACATTTAAAATCCAGGTTTCAAATTAGCAAGGTTCTGTGGCTGATAAGCAATCCTTTTGCCTTTTATGTTGGCTCTTCTGCAGTAGCTATTGTTACGTTCCAAGGTATTTTTTTAAATAATGAAATAGAAACAGTCCAAACAAGCTGTGTGCAGGCACACAGTCAGCTGTCAGAATACTAGTGCAGAATTAATGTTGATATCCTCCTCAATGCATTTCAGGTCATCTGGAATAGCTCAGGAACAAGTGACACTCTACATTACTGTTAGAGAGAAGATGGAGCAGGTAGTCTCTCCTGGTACCCTTTTGTTTCTTCATTTTCTTCCACAGTGCTGAGACTAAGTGGCTCCAGCCGTGGGGATGCTAATGACTGGGATTTAATTGCAAAGGTTCTCTCACCTGTGTGTCAGCAGTGTGGATTGTTATGACCTAGCTGTTGTCAAAAGCAGACTGCAACCTGTGTGGGGGTATGTTCATAGGTCTCAGTTTAGTCTCTAGTAGAGAAGCCACTGCTTTAGGTGCTGCTAGTAGCAAACCTGATAACAAAGACAGGGACTTCATGGACATAGAAGAGAAGCAAACCTGTGGGACAGTTTTAAGACAAATTATATGGGTAGCATAAAAGCACTGTTTCTACTACTGCCCTGTGTTGTGGATTTATGAATTTCTGACATTTAATCTCCAAGGCTAGCAATATAGCTTCTTTTACAAGCAAAGTGAGTGTCAAACACCCCAAAATAGCCCAAAACATTTCTAAAGATCCACGAAGATAGGCTTGGTGCGGGGTTATCCCACTCCATTCTTCATATCCCCCTTAGGCTTCTTTGGAAACTGTAGGATAAGCCAGGGTGTTCCAAACCAAGGAAATTAAATCAATCTGTATGTTATCTCTGATCCTCATATTCCCTGCAGTTTACAGTTTTCATGGCATGGAAGTCCTCTATCTCATTTAAGTAATGTGGGGCCAGGCCACTGCCTATTCTGTTTTGCCCTTTAATGAAGGAGATTGTTTCAGAAAAAGCTTAAGTATTAATAGAGAAAAAAACCACACTACTTCTGAAAAGCAAGCTGTTAGCATGGGGAGGGCTCTATTTCATTCTTACTCCTACGCATATATGTTACACCTACAGGCAGCACATCCGACCTGGTTACAGCACAGCTGCCCATCCTTACACAGTGGTTAGAGGCAGCAGCACAAAACTGGTGGTGTCCCAGGTGATGCTTGTGCACTAACTGCACTATGACTTTAGAAGAGAAGTTGTAAACAGGTCCCCTGGCCGGTATACAGGACTTGACAGAAACAAGGAAAAGGTCAACCTAGTGGTTGTTAGGTAGATTTTAAGTCTTACTGAGAGAATACAGTTATTCCCCTTGGAAGTGAATCTCAGGCTCTGTCTAATGTGTTTCAATGGGAGATAGAAGAAAGCTAGATTTTTTTCATCATGGTATTTTAGGAGGTTGGCAAAATGAGTGTATTAAAGTCACTAGCAAATATGGAACTTGGATGACCTATTCCTGCATGGCAGGGTGTGTGTACACAGTACGACAGGCGCAGGGGCCTCCCCAGCATCTGGGTACCAGTTCTTACATTTAGATCATACCACACGCACCAGCAGTTTTTTGCCCACAGTCTTAGGTCGTAAGTGCTTTGTGGTGCAGGAGTATCATGTGCAAGTGCCAAACAACAGCAGCACAGAC